TTGAGCCTACATCACCCGACGTCCTCGCCTTTGACTCTGGCCAAAGGTAGATGACGAATGAGGTAGAAATATCTGTTAGGATTATGTGTATTATTCGTGTTTTCTCGGAAGTAATGGTGGATGCTAAGAGAGATTTTTTTTTTATGATTTTATGTGGAGGACACGAGGTGTTAATGACCAGTATGGATTGGCACTGTGCCACGAGAGAGGAAACGGACGTGTGCCGCGAAGGAGGAAGAGACACATTGAAGGAAGGGGCACTGTGCCACAAGGGAGGGAGAAAGGGAAGGGAGGAAGGGAGACGACCTGTAATTTGAGGGAGGAAAGAAAGGGAGGGAAGAGACTTGTACTGTCAAGGAGGGAGGGAGGATAGTTGTACCAGAATAACGAAGACGTGAGGCAGGGAGGGTAAAATCTGAGGCGGGGAGGATGAAGACATGAGGCGGGGAGGATGAAGACATGAGGCGGGGAGGATGAAGACATGAGGCGGAGAGGATGAAGACATGAGGCGGGGAGGATGAAGACATGAGGCGGGGAGGATGAAGACATGAGGCGGAGAGGATGAAGACATGAGGCGGGGAAGATGAAGACATGAGGCGGGGAAGATGAAGACATGAGGAGGAGAGGATGAAGACACGAGGCGGGGAGGATGAAGATGTCAGCAACGTCAGCAGTCTCACCCCTGACCGGTCCACCCTCCCTCTGTCTTCCGGACCTCTTCCAATGGCCACTCTTATTCCCCTTATTCTCGCGCCCTTTGCCTCTTCCTCTTCCCTCCCTCCCTCCCGTGTGTGTGTGTGTGTGTGTGTGTGTGTGTATTAGGGTTCTGTGTGTTTGGGTATGTGTATTTCACTGTTCTCTGACTAATTTTAAACACAAAGAAAAATCTAATAATGAATCTTGTTTTTATTATATATTTTCTGACTCATGACGACATAGTTTAATTAGCTGGAAACTTTAGTCAATATAGAGTCATACTAAGGCCATAGGTATCAAGGGCATAGCGCATCTGAAGTGTCTCATGATGCTCTTTTTTGTGAGGTTCTGGTGATGAGACCAAATATATCCTGAAATCAAATTTTGATGTAAAAGGAAGCAATCTAAGTTTCTTCGGCATTTTTATATCTTTTTTATGAGATTTATCAGAGGAGATGAAGGAAAGGCGCGGCCGTAAAGACAGATTAGATCAGGCCAGGCAGTCTCCATCCTGCCAGCTTTTGGGAAGAAGAAATGTCGGGGCCACACACGAAAAAATATTATGCCCCAAAAAAGCAAGAACTGAGTTAGCTGACGAAATTGTAAAAGGGATATTAATGTATGTGTGCACAGGGATGCACACATATCTAAATTATGTAGACAGACAGACAGACAGACACACACACACACACACACACACACACACACACACACACACACACACACACACACACACACACACACACACACACACACGTATCAATCACAACCATTATCACCCTTTTATAAAACACAACTGGCTAGTCAGTCATCTCCTGGGTCTTGCCTCTGACTCTGACAATGTTAATTGTACAGCCCTTAATTGATTTCTTAATTTTACTTACCTCATCAGTTTTGTTCATGTTTTATTTTTGGATGTGTGTCTGTGTGCGCGTTCGTGTGTGCATCTATTGCATTACTGTAGGTTGCACCATAAATTTTGGTACATTTCAATATTTATATATACATTATATGAACGAAATTAATTACCAAAGAAGAGAGTTACTACACATGTTGCGACAGTTTTAAGTAAATAACTAAAGATACAGTAACTAGTGGGGAGGCGGGAGGCACAGCGAGCAGAGGAAAACGTGATGTCTGTTTAATCTTGATGCTGGGACTCCCTCGTCACTCCTTCTACAGACCATCAAACTCCTCTTATCCGGCGGAGAATCTCGGCTCCTGTTGGGTTACGGCGCGAGGAAGACAGAGTGGTGGAGGCTTAGGCAATGTTGGGAGAGAATGAGACTTGGACGAGGGAGACAAAGGTAAAGACAAGAAGAACTCACACAATAGGGGAATTTTCTTTACCAGGTGCGTTAGTATAAAAAAAAAACTATAAATATTACAAAAAAATCTACCCAACTGAGAGAGAGATAAAGAGGAGTGAGACAAGAGAAGAGAGAGAAACACAAAGTGAAATATTTAGAGTTGGTAAACGAGGGATGGGAGGGGGGGGGAGAGAGTAAAGTGTTGAGAAGCGCCAAAGAGAATTGTAAGAAAAACAAAGTAAGAACGTGGTGCAGGAAGCAGAGAGCAAGAAAACTAAGGGGGAAGAGTTGAAGGAGAGCACATCGCTGGAGCCTTAATTACTGGAAGAAGAAGACGGGGTTTTACAGCGACGGAAGACGACCGCGGGAACTTAAGTCCACCGCGCCTGGGGATGAATTTGGTGACGAGGGAAAAACATGGTCGTCGACTGCCCTGATGGAGGCGATGGTGGCGATACTGGGAGGCCCTTGGTGCTGTTGTTGTTGTTTCTGTTACCGCTGTTGTTGTTCCTGTTACCACCGTTTGCTATTGCTGTTGTTATCATAGGTGCTGTTAAATCAAGACTACTCCTACATTTGATCTTGTTATCGCTACATTTACAACACTTCATATTTCTTTCTCTTGCCATCAGCTCGACAGGTAGTGATGTTCCTCTCCTATGGCTAAAAATATTACCAGTACACTAAAGCTTGTAACTAATAGTACTGTTCTTCGTTCCTCTGCTTATGTTGCCATGACTGATGGTTGTTGATGAGAATTACGCTGCTGCGGGTGATGATGATGATGATGATGATGATGATGATGAGGAGGAGGAGAAGGAGGAAGATGAGGATAGTGATGGCCCTGGTTGACAGTGAGGGGAAATAATGGCAAGATGGGGGAGAGGGGAGGATGGGAGTGGGGAGGGGCGGTGTACACAAAGCCCATTCATACGAAGGAGTGGACGGAAGACCTGGCAGCTGTACCTACTCGGGCATTACGGCCAGACAGCCACCACCTCCTGACCCCCAGCCGACGTAAACACTTCCCTTCCTTCTTCTCCTTTCCTCCTCCTATTCTTCCTTCACCTTCTTCTTTTTCTTCTTCTTCTCCTCCTCTCCTCGCCAGTAGCTCTTACCCTCCTCATCATCCGTGCCATAAGTTCCCTCCAGTGTCGGCTGCCAACTCCCTCCTGACGACCTCCTGATGGTAGATCTTCACTCCCTCCTTCCCTTCTTCCCTCCCTCCTTCTCAGGCATCCTTCAGCTCTCCTCCCTCCTCTCTGTACATTCATTCTTCCTTTAATTTCTCCCCTGCTATGGATTTTTTTTTTCTTTGGTATTACTATTTCTTTAAGCTGTTGTAATCTCTCTCTCTCTCTCTCTCTCTCAAATCATATCACTGGCCTTTGTGTTATTCATTACTCGTAAAACCTGACATTAATAAAAAATAAAAAAAAATCCTTACAATAACCTTTTTCCCTGACTCTCTCTGGCGTCCCAAGATCCTTTGGCCATTCCATCATTGAGGAGTCTCCTCTTCCTGTCTTTTAAATCCTAGACGTTCCTACCTCCTGTTCTCTCCATCTTCAACGTATCGTCCACCGTTCTCCACGTTCCCTCCTGTTATCCTATATTCAGTTCCTCCCTCTTCCTCCTCCCTTCCATCTTTCTCTGTTCTCCCTTTACTTACTGCGTCTCTCCTCCCCCTCCCTCCCTCCTTCACCCCTCCCTCCCTCCTTCACCCCTCCCTCCTTCCCCCTCCCTTCTCACCCCTCCATCCTCACCCACCCCCACCCCCCATCAACCACTCCGCCCCCCGCTGGCTTTATTTGGCCGTTTCTACAGTGTCATAATCGACCCTTATATGGAGTCGATGGTCGCCTTCGATCTGTGTTCTCGCCCTGAGTTAATCGATTAAGGATGATTATAACACTCAAGAGTTAGTCACTGTTGATTGTATAGTTTAAGAAAATGTTAACGAGATGTACATTAAAACTACAGACGCGTGTGTATGATATAATAATGTTCTACAGCTGAAATGTAAATTGAATTAGTTAGAATCGAGAGTCTGAAATGCCTGAGTATCATTTACAGTATATAAACTAACGTAAACTGCCATAGTACATAATGTATCTTACATATTGTTGTATCGGATATATCCTCAGCGATAAGAATTATAATATAACAGTTAAAGTCAACCATATATTACTATACTGGTGGATATATAGGCCAGTGTTATACATTGTAGTACTGTTGTAAAAAGATTGGTATTTTATCCAGTAGACAAATATATAGACCAATGGCCTTGCTGTCCGCATCACCACGTATGTTGCTACACAAACTAACGATCGACCTTGGCACGAGAAAATATCCCAGAGAGAGTTGTTGAGTTTGGTCGTTGGTGTGATATCGGCCAGAGAGAGAGAGAGAGAGAGAGAGAGAGAGAGAGAGAGAGAGAGAGACATATGATCACTGGGCGCACTTGATTGTTGGGGAAACATTTGGATTTCTATTTATGCCCGCGTGCCCTTCCATGTTCATTGTTTCTCAGAGTTTCGTCCCCTGCCGATAGATGTCACTAGTGAGGCGGCGCATTGAGGTCGAGCAGCCATCGGAACGGAGCACAATATGTTTCTTGACAATATGAGCCCTATGTCAGCAAGGGAGGGGGAAGGAGGGAGGGGAGGGAACTGTTAGAGCTAGAGGAACACAGGAGGGATGATAGGGGAGCAGGAGAGAGGCTGATAGTTAAGAGGGAGAGAGAGAGAGGGGAGCCACGGGAATAAAGGGGTAGAGAATGGTAAAGCTTGGATAGAATGAGGAGACAGGGAGGAATAGATACGAGCAGGAATGATAATTATCATGACACGGAACTATGGAAGAGGTCGAGGGTGAGAGTCTTACCTCCGGGTTATATATGTGTGGTGGGGTGGAGAACTCCCCTTCGACATTACCAGAAAAATATCTATAAACAAGGCCAGGTAGAGACCCACTCCCCTCTCCCTCCTTCAGGAACACCAGAGGGCAGTCCCTCGACACACCCTCAGGAAGGTCCTGGAGATCCAAGGGGAGCACATGCGGGATGGCACGAGAAAAAGATTGGACATGGAGACAAGTGTGAGTCATTCGCTACAATTTTAGTTCCATCATTTACATTATAGCTTCCAGGCACTCTGATCACTCGGGCCTCGGCAGAACTAAACAGAATTCATAAACCATTTTGCTTCAGGTTGTTAAAGACAGTTGATGTTGGGATTGTTTCATATGTATACTTGTGTGTATGGTGTATATGTATTTCTGTGTATATGTGTGTGTATATGTGTATGTGAGTGGGTGTGTGTGTGTGTGATGCATATGTGTGTGTGTTTAGTGTATGTATATTAATTTATTTAAGTGACAACAAATCCAATAAAATAATATTATAGTTTTCACATAAAATCAGAAATTCTCCATTCCTTCTCTATGTGAACTTATCCTTACATATGGCAACATTATTAAAATCGGAGAGCGGCTGTCGGAAATCTCCCACAATTCTTCTGACCCGCCTTTTCCCTCCCCTTCCTCTACCCTTTCCCCTTCCCCTCCCCCTCCCCTCCCTTTCTCCTTCCCCTCCCCTCCCCTCATTCCCAAACTTGCAGGAAACTTTTTATTACCTTTCAGAATTAGATCATCTCCCGCCATCCAGTTAATTATCAAAGAGAATAGATGAGTGTCTGGGGCAGCTACGTGGTCCTGCTGGAGCTGCCTTGATAACACCAGGCTACCTCTTGTGGTGACCCGGTGGCTTCTTTTTGCTTATATTCAAATGATATTCACATAAAAACGAATGTATTTGTAAGTGCATGTGGTCTGCATGTGTGAGTGCATGTGATCTGTATGTATGAGCGCGTGTGGCCTGAATGTGTACGTGTATGTGTATCTGGGTGTGATTATGTGTTTATTTATGTGCATTGTATGTGTACGTTTTTGTGTAAGTGATATCAGTATACATCGAAGAGAAGGTGCTACAGACTCATATGAAATTTATATCCCTGCTACAGCTGTCATGTTACTAACTCCCTCATGGAAACATTAATATAGTTAACAATTCCAGAGAATCATTAAGTTTGGCAAGAGTTGTTGCTTTTCACGCACCTCAGCGACCTCTCATGCCTCTCACTTCATCATGTTATAGGTCTCAGAGTATCTAAGAGGGTGGCTTGTTTGTTGTGCACCGTGTATCTCTTTAACTATACAAACACTACTCACATCCATATTCTCATGCCTTCATTCACATCCTTCCTCACCCTATCATTTTTTCTTCTATCTCGTTCTTGATCACCCTACCCCTCCCTCCTCCTCACTCAGACACTCTACCCCTCCCTCCTCCTCACTCAGACACCCTACCCCTCCCTCCTCCTCACTCAGACACTCTACCCCTCCCTCCTCCTCACTCAGACACCCTACCCCTCCCTCCTCCTCACTCAGACACCTTACCCCTCCCTCCTCCTCACTCAGACACCTTACCCCTCCCTCCTCCTCACTCAGACATCCTTTCAGTGTGGTTTACAACAACTAAAACAAACAAAAAATCACAACGAAAACATTCAGAATCTAGTGAACCAAGACGACAGGTACACAGGATGTTTAGCAGCTTGATACTTGGCTGATAACTCCCAAGAAGTGTACCGTTGCTATAATGTAACATCTGGGAGGCCAAACGTATCATTTACAATACATTCGTGTCAAATTACTGAACGGCACAATGATATTATACTTAGATTACAGTACTTTGACATAATTTTATATTTATATTTTACTTTACTCAATTGGTATACAACTATCAAGTGGTATCTCAGATTACACATATAGTTAAGACAATACACACGCACGTTATGGAAGGGCGAGCAGTGAGGGGTGGCGCTGACCGTGGCAGTGGAGGCAAAACTTACCTTCATTCATGGCCTCCCACAGAGCCTTGATCACCTGGACTTGTGGACACCCGAGGACACACGAATGTCTGTCTTGGCGAATGCACTTCAAGCGGATGTGTCCATTATACTCTGTTTCTGTCTCTCTCCTTCTCTCTCCTGAAGTAATAATGCTACAATGTTTATTCTGTAAAATAATCGTCAAAGTAAAATTATCTCAAACGGTCAATCAAAAATATCCTAAATCGTTTCAAGTGATATTTTTTTGTTATACACTATCTTGTTACCCCGTCCAAACTTTATAATTTACCGACAAGCTTATCAGTAATATCCTGTCATGAGTAGATCAGAGTTATTGATGTATAAAACGTCTTATTTAAATCTAGTAATTATTCTCATTCTCTAGAGAAATAAAATCAATTTATTTTAGATTTATGATCCAATAGAAAGACCTGATATTGTGATGATGTTGTTGTTGTTGTTTAAATATGTTTGATGATGTGTTAAAGTTAATACTGCCTCTGTTTTAACCCTTTCCTACACTACCCTTTGTTTACTACACCACCTTTTACTCTCTTTCCTTTTTTTTTCTTTTTCTTCTTCCTCTTTTTTCCTTCCCACTTCCATTACCTTCCCTCTTGTTCCTCTCTTTCCCTTTCACTCTGTTTTCCCCCTACTCTTCCTTCTCCTTTTCCTTTACTACTTCCCCTTTTTTTCTCACTTTACCCTTCCCCGTTTTCCCCTCCCTCTCCCATCATCTACCCTCTCTTCCCTCCCTCCCTCCCTCCCTCTCCCTTCCGTTGTGCCCATCTCGCCCCCTCGGCTGCAGACAGAGAGGGGTGGCAGAGGCGGGTTGAGGTGCCGAGGAGTGCCAGACAGACCTAATCTAATAGCAACTACCCTCCATTTTCTGGCTTGCTTTGTGATCCAGTTCCCCCGAGACTCCTGTGACATTTACCAACCGCTCCTGTTTCTAATCTCGCACCCCCACCATTGTGTGATGATTATCATTTTGATTAGTGATTCACTCATAGGAGGACGGATAGGGAGGAGGAGGAGGAGGAGGAGGGGGCGGGGGTAGGAGTAGGGTGTCGAGGTGGATGTGTGTGTGTGTGGTGATATTAGTCTGGGAGGGATGTACGGGGGAGGTGGGTACTGGGAGGGGGTCTTATTTTGTTAATTTTCCCCCTCGTTGTTTATAATGATTAGGATCGTCTACTAAGTGTTTGAGTTCGTTTATATATTGGATTTTGTTTTGTTTTTTGGTGGTGATGAATGTTTAGGAATTGTATGATGAATGTGTAAGAATGTATGATGGATGTGTTAAATGTTTGTTGCTGTTGTCGGAATAAAGAATCACAGCCTCTTAGATATTTCCTAGCGATGTAGCGTTCTAGCCACTGAGTGAGTTGAGTGAGTGTGAGAACAAGAGGCGGCCAAGCCACAGCAACAACACCGTAAGGTCGAATTACACACTTCATCGCCATCACAAACTTGCCCTGATAACCTGATGACTGGCACGTGCTCCTTCCTTCCCTTCTCCCCCCTTCCCTCCCCCTCCTTCCCTTCCCTCCTTCCCTCCACCCGCGAAAACACTCCGGGTCCATCAAAAGCCATTACGGAAACCCAAAAGCGAGGGATTAAGCCGATTACAATATACAAGATGAATTATTACGGGTTTAAAATGGCTTGGCTTGTGTCACATCGAATGAATGAGCTGCTGGTGCGTCTGAGTGTTGGATGGGACCGGATGTTGTCTAGGTCTGTCTGTCTGTCTGTCTGTCTGTCTGTCTGTCTGTCTGTTTCCGTTTGGTTCTCCTTAATTACCGGTAATAGGAAAGTGATACTGTATTTAATTCACACAGATAAAGAGGAATGGTTACACACACACACACACACACACACACACACACACACAAACACTTGATTTGATCTAATAATACTTTTGAAATGTACTAAGTGGTGAAGTATGTTTTCTATCACCTTATGCAGTGTAAGCAACTTAGATGAGAGAGAGAGAAAGAGAGAGAAAGAGAGAGAGAGAGAGAGAGAGAGAGAGAGAGAGAGAGAGAGAGAGAGTTAAGTACGAGGTTGCATATATGTTATAACAAAACAATAAGGCCTCCCACACTCCCTGATGTCAGTCTTGTCTACATTAACTTTTCTACATCAGACAAAACCTTTATTCTCCTCCTTTACTATGATCAGCTGTCCAGCATGCTGTTCATTGTGAACGAATTATAACACAGCTTTGCACCTCACCATAATCAGCTGTTTAGTATACCAACCAATCATACCCCCAGCTTCACCAATGGGCAGCTGTTCACTATGCCAAACAATAATAACACAGCTTTGTACCTCACCATGGTCAGCTGTTTTGTGTGCCACCCAGTCATAACACAGCCTTGCATCTCACCATTGTCAGCAGCTCAGACTATGCCACCCAATCATAACACGGTTGTTTCTACTTGCAGACGAAAACCGGGATATGAATGGCCACTCAGAGGACGACCTTAAACGCCAGAGAACTCAATACAACCCTGATCCACTCTACACCAATGTAAGTAATATATCTCACTGCTGCTGTTGTAGTTGTTGTTAAAGGTTGTGCATACATTAATGTTAGTGGTATTATTATTATTATTATTATTATTAGTAGTAGTAGTAGTAGAAGTAGTAGTAGTAGTAATAGTTAATACTATTTTTTTAACATTATTATAATTATCGTTAGTATGACTGTTGTATTGCTTACGTTGTTGTACTGTAAATATTATGGTAGTTGTATTATTGTCTTCAATTGATTAACATTATTAATGTCATAAGTAACTTGGGTGTTATTGTCAATAAATAAATAGTTATAACAGCGCCAGATGCTTGTGTAGTGTAGAATATTGTTTCTGAGGCGATATCATGTTATATCGCTATAGAACTTCAGCTGTTGATAACATAAATCTACCGCCAGGTGGTCCACATATTTCCTAGCCACAGCCAAATGTCCCTTTGCTGTGACACTAAACTGCCTCTGTATATAACAAGATAGCAGACTGGGCGAGAAGACCTTCCTCAGAGGCCGATATAGGAACAGGAGATCCGTCTTCCAGTGGCAGTACTCGACAATATTACACATGCACGAAATATGCCCCCGGGGCCTCTTAACTTGTCGAATTTGAATGGGAGTAATTTGTTTTCTTTAAGACAAACAGAAAACGTGTTTCCAAAACTGACCCCAAACCCCTACCGGCCCAGCGGCGTCTCACAGCCCAAGACAAAGAGATCTTATTCCACTATCGCGAAGAAAATGGTGGAAGCTCAGATGTCCTACAACAAAATTGAGCAATAAAACAGATTTATTACACCTTGGCGCTGCAAATCACCCAAACAAAGCAGTCTATATCTTTCATAACCCCCCTGTGGAGGGAGTCATTTGTAATCCTATTGGTCAATTCTTGATATGAAGCTCCGGTCAACGGCAGCCAATCAGACCTCTTGGATCATATTCCCGGTCATGTGATAGCCAATCAGAGGCCTTATTACCTGCTTTGAAATTCCAAGAGGCGCCGTGCCAATCTCAATTTGTTGGGGCTGCTGATTTATGAGCGAGTTACGGTCCCTTTTATTTGTCTTCGAGCGGTCCTCCTTCGCCTTTTATTTGCGCCGGGATCGTAGCGCCCGGAGTTATGGCGCAGACATTTTGGTTTATGGCAGTCGTGGTGGTGGGGGTACCCATCCCCTCTCCCCTCCCTCCGCCGGTATGGTCCAGTGCCATCACCCTCCCCCCCACCCTCCTGCTCCCCCCCTCCGCCGGTATGGTTCAATGTCATCAACCCTTCCCCTCCCTCTCCTTCCCTCTGTCTGTATGGTTCGGTGCCATTAATTCCTCTCTCTCTCCCTCCCTCCTGCCATCTATCCATCCTTCCTTCCCTCCTTCTGTATGATCCGCTCCTCCTCCCCTCCCTAGGCCCATATGAATCAGTAACGCCACCCATCCCTCCCCTCCCCCCCTCTCTCTCCACCTGTATGGTTCAGGGCTACCAACTCTCCCTCCCTGCCATCCATCCATTCTACCACCTAAATGGTCCAGTGCTCCCTCCCTTCTACTGCCTATCGTATATGGCCCAGTGCCACCACTCCTCCCTCCTTCTCTTCCTCTCTCCTTCTCTCCCTTCCTCTACCGCTTGCATGGTCCAGAGCCACTACCCACATCTTCCCTTACCTCCCCCTCCCCCTCCCCCGCCTGTATGGTACAATGCCACCGCTCATCTCCCTCCAGGCTCGTTGAGGTACCGTCAGGATTTTCTTCTGTCTCATGCCAGACTTAAATGAACCACTGGCCTCGACATTACCCCGTTGCCAGCTGTTATTGACCACTGGGAGTCCTTGTGTGCTGTAGTGCCTCGACAGTCAACCTACTTAGTCTCTTATTTACAAACAACCACTGGCCTCGCTGTCGCCTGCTGCAGAGCCACTAAACACACACACACACACACACACCAATGTCACCATATATACAGTAATATATATACTTTGGCTACTGTGTTTTTCAATAAACCTTTTAATTTATTATTATTATTATTATTATTATTATTATTATTATTATTATTATTATTATTATTAGTGTTATAATTTTTATTATTATTATTATTATTATTATTATTATTATTATTATTATTATTATTATTATTAGTGTTATTTTTATTATTATTATTATTATTATTATTATTATTATTATTATTATTATTATTATTATTATTATTATTATTATTATTATTATTATTATTATTATTATTATTATTATTATTATTATTATACTCGCACACGCTCCACGATAGGTTACAAAATATTATATATTACTCTTACCTCAATTTCTGGGGTGATTCAGACCTGTGTCTCTTTCTCGATGAAGCCCCACAACGTCTAGTAAAAATGGTCTACATCTGCTTTCATGTATAAGATCATATACTTAGGTGCTCCCACGTCCATAACAGAAGAAACTGGAGGGACGCGACTGTCATTCCTTTTTACGAGGATACAAATTCTTATTCGTGAGGTCCCGCCATTGACGGAACATGTTCGATATCAACACTCTCTTACCGAGTTTCATGTTTATTCTACCGATCGCAAATATCGCACTAATATCAATTTCTAGGTCGTTTCTGTCGCGAGCGTAATAACGTCAAGAAATGTACGAGTTGTTATCCAACAATCTGTCAGCGCACCGTAAACTACACCCACTTATTTTCCTGGTTCACTCTTGTATACGTGGCCATCGTTCACACGTCAGAATCAATGTAAAATAATGAGTTCCTGACGTTAAACGATAATAAAGAAGGCTACGGAAAACACAGACTACCCACCATGCACGCACTTCATCATAATCAACGACTTAACACACCAAAAGCTTTCACATCTACAGTGATTATTACCACCGCGCTGCCAAATGCTTCGATCAATTCACTTTGCTTAGGGTTCGATACCCCAAGTCAACGGCAGTGTTGCTAAAGTGTGCCCGCCCACGACTCTCTCACATCTCACCCAAAGCTCTACGTTTTCTGTTCGTCAGGGTTACATTAGTATCAAAATATATCGAGACAAAGCAGTCTAGTGGTGGAAACAAAGAACTTTTCGCGTAATGTAGAGCAAACACGAGGGTACACGGGAGACTCGGATATACGGAACGATGCGATAATGGATGTTCTATTTTAATGTATCTGTAGGCTAATGAGTGGATGTCTACACATTAAACGAAAGGAACCAGAACACGTGATTTTGAATTAAAGTATTCTTGAATTTCTGAGTGATTATAAAGTTGGGTGTGAGCAATGGTTGTAGTTTTCAGGGTAATACTGTATTTAAGAGAGAGAGAGAGAGAGAGAGAGAGAGAGAGAGAGAGAGAGAGAGAGAGATCAGCCACTGCCACACCACGCGTCACGGCTGAAGCGCCACACTAATACGTGTGTATGAATATAAATTGGATATTGAGGTACTGAGTTACCTAAACAATAAAAAATGAATTGGTGGTGCAAGTGCTATATTAATGTCAGCCAGGGAATGCACACGAGACCGCTATAACACATGGCGACCCGCGTAAACACAACAGTCTGTACATAATCAAAGAACACTGAGGAAGGTCCGCCCTGCCCTGCCATCATGACCTGAGCCATTGTTTGTAGTGGCTCTCAGGGGCGACTCTTTTGTATCGATAATCATTTTTTACACTGGGGGATTAGGGGGATAACTGTGTTTGAGGAGTGAATTATTGATCTTAAGCACCGTCTTGGAATTCTTGAGTATGTGCCTGAGTAATGAGACTGAGAATGCATTAGTCGTGAGTATACCTTGGGAGTTATTTTAGTGTGACTTACAGAGAAAATTTGGATTCTCTTGATACATGTTCTCAAATTCTCAAGCTTTATTTTAACTATTGGTTTTGCAATACTCCTCTTTCTCTGGCACTTGTGGGTAATTTATTCTTGTAACTTGCCTTTAGCAGCGCACTGAACAATCTTGTTATCAACAGATGATATGGCCGAAGCAGTGGCCCACGCTGAAGAGTGAGGAGGCGGCCAAGACACTTCTACCTGACCTTGGAGGAGTCCCCGGAGGTGCCGCTTCCCCCTACAGGTATGTCAAATTCCTCATTAAAGGCACTTCTGGATAATCTCTTTTATTTATTTCCCTTCCTATTTAGTTAAACCTCCTAGTTTATTCCTCATTCGTTGATTTTACCATCCTGCAATACACTTGTTGTATATCGGAAGGAAATATAATCAGTTAAATATCTGTGCATAGAAGTATAATGAGTTGAATCCCTGTGTATAGATGTATGAGTTGAATCCCTGTGTATAGATGTATAATTAACCTGCACCTGCTTGCTTGATCCCCAGCAACGTACAGTCTTTCGTGGATCACCCGGCCAGCTACCCGTCAGTGTCAGCCGCTTCCATTTCTACGGAAGCCCTTTATGAGACTATGTCAATGACGCAGTCAAACAGTAACCACGTCTACTCGCCTCCCCTCGCTACCTCCCTTGGTAAGTAACTTCTAAAAGGCGCCCTACTCCTTAGCTCCTTCGGTAAGTTACCCCCTGAAAGGGCTCGCCGTCCTGGTCTTATGTTCATGGTGATGGGTATGATGGTCCGTAGTTCGAAAAAAATCCTGGCTAGATGAAAATCTTTTGAAAAATAAAAGAGAGAGATCAGACACAAGAGAAGACTTCTTCTGGAGAGAGTGAGATAGAGCTCTAACTCTCTGCACTTCTGATTGGCCTCCTACAGGTAGCGCAGGTGGACTGACGCCCCTCACACCCATCACTATGCAAGACGTGAAGCCAGTCCTAGCGGCACCTTCAATCCTTGATACCACCGCCTCACAGTACCAGCAAGGTAAGGCTTCCATGCGTATCATCACCAGTACCTCGTGTCTTCATCCACTCACTCTCATCCATCATGGCTAACACTAGTTACGGGAAATTTGGTCTAATCCATTGGATGTCTTACTAAGTTACAATCATCGCCACAAAATACATCTTCATCATTCATCACCAAAACAGAAGCGTAAAGTCAGCGACAATCGTAACCATCCCCCCACCTGTTCTTCACCCTCCATAAATGATCTGTGTATCAAGTAGTTCAATACATCTCACGGGGATTAAAACATTTTCGAAGTAAATCTTGGTGACACAGTTAAATCATCAGCGGCACATCTTTCTGGAGTCGTCTGCCTTTGCCACCGTGCCAGCGGAATTACGTCTAAGAATGAGAACTAGAGCCAACTTTGGCCATAAACTGAGGGGAATCACCGGCCACAAGTTCGTCTTCGGGATTGTTAAGTCAGCAAGTTTGCTTGGGACTCATCGCTCCATCTAGCTGTGATTTAGGTTCTTGTAGCAATTTCTTGATTTTCTCAAGAAATTATAAAGGTTTATGCCTGATTTTGTTGAAAATAAGTGATTGGTAAATTGTTTAAGTTTATCATCTCGGTCAAGAGGAGATGAGAACAATGTACATGAGAAGCAACAAGGTGGGTGAGGAATGTGAGTCAACCTCGATGATGAACTGGCTGGTGAGAGCCTACCGGTCTTGGACCACGAATAATGTCCCTTACAAACTCACACTATTCCGAACTCGGATTCGATTATAGCAGGAAACAGGAAGACACTATTCATATTTTCCATAATTCCTTCTTCCTCTCTCTCCCCTACTCGCGTCCCTCACTCTGCTCTTTCTGCGACTCAGACGTCAGTTAGTCGGCAGCCATTTTGGTGAAGATCTTTTCTTTTTGTATCGTTTTTTGTTGGACTTCTCAACAACTTTAATGGCTATTCCACTCCTCAGTCATCGCCAAGATTGCAAGGTTATAAAGTTTAACAAAGTGCGTTTTCGTCATCCAGTAAAATTCTTTGTTGATAGACTCGTCTTATGAACCACGAGGGTAAGATATCCTGGGCTAGGGTTGTAATTCATCTTGCGTCCGCCAACAATGCCCGGGACAATGGTGGATTTTACAGTCGCGAGCTGGTATTCAGCCATGGAATTTTATCACCGTTTCGCTGCCGAGAAAAGCGGAATTCTATGAACGCTTTGATTTATTGAACAAGGCCTGGCACCAGCTCAGAAGAATCAAACAGTGAAGGAGGACTTTGAACACGCTGAGGAATGTTCATACAGAATATCAGGCTTAAAGCACAAGTAACAATGAGAGCCTCGCCCAGCAACTCCAATAATGTGAATGTAATATGAGAACCGGATTCATCAGTTTAGTTAGCCAGTGAACCGCGTCACGCTCAGTGTAATGACTGCTGCAGTTATAGTTGATATAACAATCCCATACACATCATGTCCCGTCATCCTCACTCCTCATCCTGTAATTATTTCAGTCATGTCCTTCCCGCTAACATTTATCGGCAGTTCTTGTTCCTGAGAATCTCTTGTTCATCCACATCAATCATCCAACCTTCAGAATCATCCACATTTAATAATCTACCGCACACTTAACTCACACTAACCACCCACTCTAACCCTCATGAGTAGGCATTCAATTCAGACCAGCTTTTTCTCACCTGTCAGTCACACTATTGCCCAATTTCTACTGACGAGAGGTGTCTGGTGACTGTCGACCCTGACTGACTTAAACTGGCAGCCATTCTGGCATAACCTTGGTGTGGTCCCCCCCACTCCCCCTCCCCTCCCCCTCCTCCTGCATGAGATATCTCTCGAGTCCTTCAACAAGTGCATGTAACATGATATAAGGATATTAAGCATGATATGAATCAGCCAGCATGATCAAGCATGGTACTACTAACACAACAATACTATGTTTGTTTTTTAAGTAACTATTTGACGTTTTAATTAAGCTTTAAGTTAGAAGAATGAGTTCAGTTGCCTTACTCGTTATACTGTATTAATTTTGGACAATGCACATCAGCATCTGTGCACTGACTTAGCACTTGCACTTTGCACCTGTAGAATGTACTGAAAGAATGCTGCCCGCCTAGTACAGTGCATATTTTTTACCTCTCCTGATTACTTAAGCTACCTGGCAGGTGGTCACGTCGTGTAACTCTGAGATGACATGACGCCTCACGAACATGACTCCTATACCTTCCTCGAGTCATTGTTTTGTGAGCGTCTGTCTTCTTGTCGTGTTTACATGTCGGTAACCACTGCCTCATTATTTAGATCAGTAGTCAAGGGCACATTCTGTAGTTAAGCGAGATTTACCGTAGTACAGCCACCATCCTCTCTGTTGGAGGGGACCTGACAATACGCTTTTCCTGTAACCAAGGTCTTGTCGTGTTCCCTCAACAGAAAAGATGACAGCTCGATTGCCAAATGTCTTGAATACTCTCAGAAGCATCTTATGTCTTATCCTTAAGCTTTCTATATCCTGTAAGGTCAGATATTAAGGAATCTTAATAATGTAAGAGTGCCTCGTGAGGATTCTTAATTTGGCCGAGTGTAGTGAGAGAGTACAGTAGCTAGCGCGTGATTATGGCTGTAGTGGAGTGTGTGTGTGATGGCAAGTTGTTGTCTGCACGTCAGGAGGTACCGTCTACACGCCCCTCAGCACCCCCCAGCCCACTTCCAACGCCGGCTATACCAACACCCTGGCCGCCCACTACCCAGAGCAAACAACAGTGTCGCCGGCCAACTGCAGCAGCGAGTGTGTTACGCCCTTGGACAACCTGGTGGTGGCGCCCTGCTCGTCACCTCTCAAGGCTGACACCCCCTGTACCACCGCCCTCACAGTCCTCCAGCCCGCCTCACACGCCCATGCTGCCACTCACCATGCCCATGTATCCACTCATGCGCATGCACCTACCCACGTGCATTCCTCAACGCATGCCCATGTACCCATGCATGCCCATGTAGCGGCAACTCCTCCTGATCCGACCTACACTACCCTCCCGCCCATCACACACTACTCAGGTAAGTTGTCCTCCTGCACCTGCACGCCCTCTTGCATGTGTTCACCTGTGCCCCGCCCGTGTCTTGGCATATGCACCACTGGCACGCTACACGTCACCAAAGGGTCAGCAGTCCATTACCTAGCGGTGACACCTGCACCACCTGGGTAACCACCACCAATGTGATCATCACGTAATGTGCCTAACAGACACCTCTCGCCCCAGGGCAGACGAAGGCATTGGTCGCTCATCCTTTCATTCAGATACATCTTGTCCTTCATCCTCATGTGGAGAAACATTTATTTTTTCATCAACAGGGTAAACTTATAAACAAACTTGAATAACTGATGTTAATTATCAACCCCATGACGTTACTTATGAGGAAAAGTTCATTCAGTACAATTTAAAATGTTTATATTTTTCATCTTGTAACCACAGTCAATAGAATCACTGAATCACCTTGGAATCCTACTCCTTACATTATATTTAATTCATCTTGACATTTTTTTCAGGTTGTTCTCAGACAAGTCGTCCCCTGATTGTGTACTTATCCCCACATTATTTTACAAACCCTACAAATTTAATCTACAATCTGATGATTCTTTTTCCAGTCACCTTGTAACATTACTTCTCCCATCAAACCAGCTTTTCTTCTCTTAGTCACCATATCTTAGGAAATCACATCTACAGTGTTACTTCCATCCTTACCTCTTACTCATCTTTTTTCCGTATTTTCATCTCATTACTCTTATATAAAATCCTAAAACCCCATTTATATAAACAATAATCCCCTGACTCCCCCACCTTCCTGTTCCTCCAGTGGCAAGTGATGACTCCTGTGTAAAATAACGATGTGATTCTCCCCAGGAACAGCCAGTATAGGGTCGATGACAGACTACACGTACACGTCCCCGTACACCCAGTACTCGTCGACGTACCCGGCCTATGGCTACGGCACTGGAGGGCTCCTTAGTAAGTAACTGTGAGTATTGATGTACCTTATTCTTTGGTTCCTTGTGTTGCCGTTATTACTCCCCGAATATGTTGAATTTAGTTGACCCAGTTTTTGTTTTGGTTCCGTCGTGTACTATTTCCAGGTCAAAGAGAATGCGTATGATATCGCAAATGGTATACGGGATATATGCATTACCAACCGTTTTCCCGTGTATATTGATAGTAATTAAATCGTTAAAGTACCGAGACAATGTTTTATTTACATTGCGTATAATATAACATTCTCTCATTTGTTTTCAAAACAAAATATTGTTTTATCAACAGAATTGTGGCAACACGGTCATGGGAATGAATCACAAAATCATTACTAGAGTAATATTATTTTAACGTCTTGAACAAGTACCCATGCCATAAAACTTGCAGAAAAACAATTAAATATTCCAGCTTTCTCCCCTTCTAAGGCTCGTCATCCTAAATTAGCTTAACGATTGTCTCGCTGAAGTAATTTTAGTTCCTCCGCTTGGTCTCTCTGGCATTACTGTGTTCCTTCCTTCAAGCGCCTTTTCATGTTAAGTGATAGCCATCGTTGTGGTGCTCTGGAAAAACAGGGAGTAATAAGCATCACATCTGAGCTTGATAAAGAGTTTGTCTTCTGACGGCGAGGCAGTGATGATGATGATGATGATGGCGGCGTGGAGTGTGGACTACCCTCATTAGTAACAACGTGTCAAAACAAGTTCCAAGTAATCCTTTGCTTTACATTATCTGATTTACGGATTTACTCGGTGTAAGAAATGGTTATCTGCGTTAATCAGTAAAGTATTACTTTAAATTTGTTTGTTTTGTTTATCAATCGAGTCTTTGTTTTATTACTGCAACGCTTTTCTATTTTTTATACTTTCTATAGAACACTGTGTCTGTCTCTGGTTCTCTGAGCATGTTGTGCATGATCACCAAGACTTAGTTTTTTGCACTTCACATTAGTGTCTCTTTGATGTGACTTGGTTTTTATTTGTGTATATTTATGTTCCACAATATTATCGTAATAGGACTGTTTTACCTAACTCTGTTCTCATGTTTGGATGTGTCTCTTCACAGATATGGGGAACTACAGTAGCTCCAGTAACGTAGGTAACAACAGCGGCGGTGGAGGTAACAGCAGTAGCAGCAACAACAACAATACTGCTAATAGTAACAATAACAGTAGTAACAATAATACTGCGGCTCGGCTGCGGATGTTGCAGTCGACGCTTGGTTCCTCCGCGTGCCTCAGACAAGACCGCTGCACGTAACGCTGTCTCCACCTCGCGAGTGTCAGTTGATATGCAGATGTCCGGTTTATCAAGACAGCTGTAATACAACGGGCCTTCGTTACTACACCTCCTGTGCAATGACTGTCCAGTACCACTTCGTGCGAACGAGGAGGAAAAAGGAATGGGAGCTCTTAAGGAGGAAAGAGAAGAGGAGAGCAAGAACCCGAAGACAAACCTTGAATAAGTCTCTATCACCGCCGCGTGGGGAGACGACTAGTTTAGCTGAGTGCGTGTTTAAGCAGCACGGACCGATCTCTAGCTAGGATACCAAAGAACCACCACTCTCAAGTCACGAGCTTGCTTGAGTCAGGGCACCGCCGGACCCTTGTTTCCTCAGGCACACACCAAGGAAAGAACCTCATGAACCCCAGGCATTTCATTTTGTACATAGCACCTCAAGGCCTTCCTAGTGTGCCTGAAGAAGACAAGCGAGGGGCGTGGAGACCCTGACTCACACACACACACCTCTTTCCACTCTAGGCGCGGGAAGCCGTCCTCCTGTCGTAGGATGACTCTGGCATCTCCCCAGCGCCAATTACTTCCCCTATCGGCTCTTGGTTTTCATTGGGGTTTATCGCTGTCCAGGACCTAGATCTACTGACTCGTGTTTTTGGCATCGATCAAAAACTTTCTAAATCCCTGTAACATTAAGTTTTATTTTTTCAACAAAGGCGCCTGTGAAACGGTGATTCAATTACCTCTTACATTTATATATATATATATATTATATATATTTAAATATATATATGCACATATACCTCTCACACTGTCAGAAGAGGCTAAGAGCGACAACAGAATACAGAAGGGATTTATCCATTTTTAAGACTGTAGTACTGTTGGTAGGTTGGAGGTCCGCCCCATTACCTCTGAAGGCTGTTTACCAAAGAGGCGTCTTCTGGCTTCTGCCTCCTTAGCCTGTTTGTACAAGGCGATGTTTAGTCAGGTGGACCTCTCATGCAGAGGTTGCTATATGTTTCCTTATTGTAGGAGACGGTTTTGTATAGACAAGTTTTTAAAAAAAGATGACAAGTTGAACTATGTATTAAAAAAGACCTATTTATATGTCTGCTGAATTAATGAACTAGGTAGGTCGTAGTGTTAAGGAGAGAGTAGCGAATAAGGATTTTTTTACGCTGGTTATTTTTTTTTAATTTATTTTGCCCATTGTCACTCAGTTACAGTGTACAGTATTAGCCCGTAGTGTTACTGCTCGCAATATCTAGCAGCCCCCATGTTCCAGAGTCACAAAGTATTACAGGAAGTGTTAATATAAGGCTAATGGTGATCGGTATTATTAGCCAAATACCGGTTATTCTTTATTTCGTAGATTCAGTACAGATTTCTTTTTAACAGTCACAACACCTACGGGTCAGTCCGGACCTGCTCGTCAGGATTCTTAGTTTTACACGCAAATAAAAAAATGTACTGTCAAAGTCTTATGTATGGATGTGTACCTTAGCATCAGGTAACAGTTTGCATTTCCACGTGGCTACATGAACTAGTCTCATTTATTAAGAAAAATTAATCCCCCCATTTTATCTCCCTTAAGTATTATTTGTGAATCCCTCATAATAAAACTTAAATACTCTTACTACATCCGAATCTGTATTGATCTTACTCTACTTAATTCTCAAGGCAAAAAAATCATATTCCAAGAAACCATTTCTCAACATTCTCCGAACGGCACTCAAAGTGTGAATTTGGTTCAGTGTTCGGGGCCTCATATCATTGTTTCGGAGCGCAGGCTATTGGGTGTGGTATAAAGCTTTTTTTGGAAGTTTATCTGTAGTCCTCTCTTGCGCCTCCACTGCATTGTTCTTGTATAGGTAAATTATTATTATTATATATTTTTTGGTTTGTGCACATCAACATGTAAAGTCACTGTTACTCACTTAACTTTTTTTTGTTGCTTTAAACATGTATCTTTTTTTTTCATATCTTTTTTTTTCAGTGACATGATTTTTTTTTACAACCCATCAAACAGTATGAGTAATATGCATCAGTATGTTGTGTATATTGGTTGCCATTTTGTGTATCGCTTGTAACTACATACAAGTACCATGGCAAAAAACTGAGAGTGTCTTCCAGGACTTTAATGTAAAGCAGACTGTTTGTATTTCAGCTGATGCTATTTTAGTCAGACACGTTGAACCTACATATTGATGTATGCAGCAACAATAGGTAGTTATAGAAATAAACAACTGCTGTTTATAATAAATTATGTGGTCTTATTGTCCGCCAACTCACGTGCAAGAGATCTGTGAGGAAATAAAAGAACTTTCAATAAATTAGATAAAACTGTGATAACAAAACACACACACACACACACACATTTTTTTCATAACAATAACAGGCAATAACGTGTTATGGTTTTTTTCCTGTATGTTATTCGTAGCATTACAGATATGGTGTGATGCCAAAATGAAGAGAAGAAAAGGTGAAGACGTAAGTTTGTACAAGTAAGAGATAATCGTCTTAATTAAATATATGTAAACGTCGCGCTCAGTTGGCCAACACATAATATGTGGCGCAGACAAACACAAGTCCTGGCGGCACGAGTGCCAAAAATTAAGTAAAACAAAGCAACACTGGCACCCCTTCCGTTATTACCATCATTGTCCACGGTATCGGGCAGGCTGCTTCCTGATTGGCTGACTGGTAACAGCTGTCGACCAATCACGGCAGCCCCTTCCGGCTTGTGTCTTTAAGACGGCACTCTTGGAAACACTGTAGGTTTTCGAACGATTTATGCCCAAGAACATGGTGGACTTCTGAGATTTTTCTGCTGTTGGGCGGAGAGCAGTGTTGAAAAACTAAAAAAATAAATAAAATTAAAAAATAAAATATTAGTCCCTCGTAATGTGAATGCAATTTAAATAATTTCACTATATTTATACACCCATGACTCGGTTCATCACACCACCTCAATAAATATTTACGACTAAAAGGTTGTTGCTACAAGAATATCATTTGATAGTGACGTAACTCACAGCCAGCAACAAAATTATTACCAGACGTCGTCACGGCGCACATCATATTGGGGAGGTAAACCACGACTCAACGTAATTTCACCACAAGATAATTTCTTTCTGCTATCACCACCACCTATAAACAATACCCCTGAAAGCCTCAATATTAAAGAAAATCACAAATAACAGTCAGGAAAAGTTTCTTGGTAAAGCGTATGAATTTTAAGCAGCCTCCTAGTTGATATCTGTGACTTTCTATGGCATTATAATCCCCCCAGCAGGTTGGTCCGTAACCTGCAGCTCGGAAGGGTGGAACTCGCCTGAACTCCCCTCACTCGCCTCCGTAAGATCGATGTGAACGGCAGAATCATTGCCAAATTCCTCTTGGTTGAGGATTCACAGCTCCTCTAATACATCATACGTCGAAGCTGTTGTTCATGAAGGTCTCACACACATCTTGGTAAGGGAAGGTACAGCAGTCCCTCACAGGCACTGACAACGGGAATGGGGCACAACTGAGGGGTAAATAATGGTTACGGAGGGAAAAATCGGGAGCAGCGGTCGAGGGAAAGCGTGGGGGAAGTGTGTGTGTCATCCGTCCAGCGCTGGCGAGAAGGAGCTGAGGGAGGCAAGGCGAGGGAGGCCAACAGTCTCAGCTGCAGGATATACACTCTCTCACCAACAAGCGTTTCTCATATACACAAATGTTTCCACACGAGATATTTATTATTATAAAATATGAGTAGAACTGTAGGCAATTGCTGAGAAGACGCTGAGGGAAGATTATACATGTACTCGGTTTCACCTCCAGGATACCCGTCAGCTTCCCTTACCAAAACAAACGTCTCTCTCACTCCCAAAACGTTCCTCATGAGACGTTATCGAGTAAACATATTCCATATAATAAGTGAGTTGCCAATTATTTGTTTTAAAGTGAGGTAAGAGACTCCACAGAGAAGGATAGCACCCCGGTGTTCTCACCCCCCACCCCTTGGCATTTTTGATGATTCAGTTGTTTATCAATTTACGTGTGCTACCTTTAGGTCAGCATATATAGATAAAACAAAGCTGACAAGTATTGTTTCCGTATAATAAGGATAGATGAAGGCGGAAGGGACCTAATATGAGCTAAGGTCATGGGTTCGAAAATAAATAACTTTTTGTATAGAGTCAACCTTCGTAACGGGTTAAATGTTGTCTAATGTGGCCCAGAATATATGAAAATAGTAATGTATGCTGCACACCCCACACCCCTACCACCTCCTCTCACCCAACCCCCACCCACTGTTACCAGATGATGGACTGTACCGGGTGCGATTCACTGGTCTCACACCGACGGGGTTCACATTTGTGGGAGAATGTAGTACTCGGAACTTTCCCCAGCTGTACGTGTATATATTATGCACAGTATGTCTGTTTGTAACAGTGATTTTTGTATACTATACGTGCCCGACACTTGTGTGTACTGTATGTATGTGTATCATATAAGGAGTGGATGTTGTTTCTGTTTAATCGGTCATTTTATTATTTATATTCATGGCAGAGTATACTGTTTAAAAAAAAATAGTTACGGGAGAGATTCAGTGTTGATCAAGTTTGTTACATAACTAGTCTCAATTTTTCTGGAGCGGCCAAATTTCTGCCCTGTATATATTTTTCTCCTCTTTTTTTCATGACTTTGCTGACACGAAATAAAAATGAACTTTAGCTTCTGCATATGTATGATTCTGGTGATGGATTTTTTTTTAAGAATTTTTTTTCTTCATCTCTTCAAATTCTTCAAAATTTTAGCTTTACCTTGATCAAGTTAAATATATTATTCTACGTTTGTAGCTGTAAAGTAAAACACTAAACCATAAACGATAAAAGGCTGAAATTCCCCTACGAATAAATGTTCTTTGAGGTTCATGTGTCTCGATTCTACGGGGCATATAAGAGTGCTTCATAGGGTGCCAGTAATAGCAGCAATAGTGATACTCTATGTAAATGTGTTGAAACCTTTTATAGATAAAAAACGATTAATTTTTAAATGATTATGGACGCCAAAAATTACAAGTAATTTCCCAGTCCGTACTTACTAGTTTCCATTAATGCTTGATGGACCACATACTGTAGTGGTCAAGAATAAGTTAACAACGAGTAGTACGTTCATGTAGGTCGCCACCTTGTCATGCTGTATACCACATGTGTATAATATATGGATTCCAAAAAAAAAAATGAAAAAAAAGCCTGCCGAAGCTCTTGGTCACTGTTGTACCCAAATACATGAGAGCTTCGTAGGTAAGATATCACGGACAAGCAAGAGTACAAATAAGTAGTGTTACTTAGTACTTCGACTTTACCTCAAAATTCAGGCTTCAAGGTCCTGTACCAGACATAAGCAAAGAATTGGTTCTTTGGTAACCTCTCCACCGACATAAAGTTTTCATTGTCTGTAATAAAACTACCATCAGATCCCTAGTTTTGCAATTATTATCACTCTCGTAGTTATTCGTAATATTTCGGGAGTATATTTACAAAGACTTAAAATGACAAATTAGTCAACTTTAGTTAAATAAAATAGCGGTCAAATTACAACCTGAAAAACTCGCCAAAAGTTAGTTAAAAATCAGCATTGAACATTTACTTTGGCAAGCTTATTTAGCCAGCGTAATGTTTAGACAATAAAGGTTATGTTGTCAATTGGTAATTACATGTTCAAACGATTGCATATTGAAACGCATAATTTTCGGCATGGTAAATATTCATTTAGTAAACTAGGCAAAATTTCTCTCATTCTCATTTTAAAATTGACTCATAAATATTGATAGATAAGAGAGAATAGCAGCAAAACATAGAGGTGTGTGGATGTGGGGATAACAATACAATATTATCACTTCATTTATGACGACGTGCCATTTGGTGTGAGGATGCATAGGTTACTCATGCATGAAATGATAGCTGTTTCCATACCTGACCATGTGCACTATACTATATCTATTTAAATTCATAACACAGTTGTTTTGCACTACATTCGGTAATGATCAACGGCATTATGTTGCAAATTCCTATGTAATGCAATGTCCCTACGCACTGCAGAACACGGTGCTGTAATTGGCAATATCACTTTCTGCCTGACCTCGCTTGAATACTCCTCAGTCCTCAGTCTCCTTAATCAGCGGAACGCGGCACCAGAGTAAACTACGCGCTACTTAATACCGCAATGTGGTGTGTACTGTCGCCTCAAAGAGTTCCTTTGCCCCTAATGTTTAATTCTGTTATGTCTTATCAGTAATAAGTTAAAGGTCTCTCAAGGCACACAGAATTAAACACTTTCCCCGGTATTTACTTGCCCTTGTTAAGTTAACCCCGATATAAATATAAACAAATGACAAGATTAATTTGAAATATAACTTAACAAAAAATATAGCCTTTATTATGAACAATGGAGCATGTGTACCAGAGTTCTTTTGGGTGCTTGTGTACCAGAGTAATTTTGACTGCATATATAGCAGTGGCCTTTTGGGTGCACATGTACAGAGGGACATTGTTAAGGTTGTCTCTAATGTCAACAAAGATGGTGTGTGGCAGGTGTACCAATGGACGTCCTTGTGCATGTGTAGCGTGAGAGTATTTTGTATTGTACTATTATGTTCGTATTATATTGTATTTCATAATTACATTCTGAAACGTTATGTTCACTTTTATATTCTTTGTTTCCGTCAATTGCTAGACTGCCTCCTTGGTTGTTCAGACTGTTGCCCGCAGTATCCACAGAGTTGGGGTGGCGCCAGTTGCCAGCCACTACGTCTCTGACCGGCATCGAGAGAGGATCACTTGTAACCTTTACATTAAAGCCAACTAGAACCCGTTTGCTTGACCTTGACTGGTGGCAGTGGCAAGCAAGAAAGGATGGCAGACGCTGCCACGAACTCTCGAGTGTAGGAAATTCCTCTCACATTAACTTTCGAACTTTCGGCGATGACACCTCAGCTGGCATGTTCCGAGCCTTTACCACGCACTACAACCTCGTTAAGAACGCCAACATCATACGCGGGGTAGGCGCATGGAAGAGACCGAAGTACAGGGCTGTAATGTTACGGTTACAACTGCGAGGAACGACGGCGACTTATATAGAGCAACATACGACACTGAATCCAGACTAGGGAAAGAGTGATGGTGAAATTGTGAAGATACTGACGTCAAGGATTGTGACTGGTGATGCCATTGAAGTTCGGATTTTGAGATTAAGGGAATCCACCCAACATCA